TCTTGGTTTTGAAAATTATATTTTAAATTTTTGAACATGAAAACACTTCTTTTTATTGGTCAAATTCTTTTGTTTTCATAATTATTGGTTTTGTTTTGACGAGAGGTTTGTATTTATATAACCCCCGGGTTTATTGGATGTTTATTCCCAAATCTTGTTTATCGGGTACTAAAAGTCCTTATATGGGTTGGAACAAGCTTAAAAGCTTGATATATTGTTACCTCTCTTGCATTTTGTCAAAAATTTTATTTTGATTTATTGCTTTGAATTCATTATATAAGCACAAATAGATTATTCAAATTTCAAATATGCTTTATAATATATTCTTTATGTGGTTTGATCAAGTTTTACAAAGAAAATTTTCTTTATTAATCAAACGTCATTTTTGGGCTTAAAATTTGATTTATGATTTCATTTGGTTGATTTGTTTTCATTTGATAACTTTTTGCATGATTCTCATGTTCCTCTCTCTTTTGATTTCATAAATCTATTTATATTTTTATTTTTTTAATGAGACACATTTTTCATATTGATATATCATTATGTGTCCTCATTGTATTTTTTGTATGTGAGTGGTGTTTAGCATATTTTTTATCTATGCTTGCTCACATATATTTGCCTTGATCTTTACTGTATATTCCATAAGGTATTTTAATAGGGGGAGCAACCCCTATATATCTTTTTTGTTATACTCACTCATGCTTATTTGTAGAGGCAGCTTTCGCTCTCTTTATTCTTTTGTTTTCCCCTTTTTAATGTTGTCAAAGGGAGAGAAATATTATGAGTATAGCATTTCTTGTTTATATGCATGATATATTATACTTTGTATATTAATTCCTTTCATGCATATATCATTTTTGTAAATTGTTTGTCATCATCAAAAAGGGGGAGATTGTTGGCCTTCTTGTTTTGATGATGATTTACAAATAATTTACATCTAATATTGTTTGTCTAGTGTTTGTGTTTTATATTTATTCTAGGCAAATAATATATTGGAGGATGGATGGAATTGCGCATTCACGATCATATCCAATGGAGGTTGGCGGAATTGTGGAGTGAAGCCTACGCAATTCAAAGTTAAAGATTCAAGTTCAAGCTTCATCCGTAAGTGTACCAAGATAGAGCTTCGTTGAAGATCACAAGCTTGGGTAAATTTAGTTTTAGGTTTTATATTATGTGTGTTACACATACACGTTTTGATTTTGTATATAGTTATATATACATATATGTTTGGTTTGATAGTTTTCAAGTTTTAATATGAAACAAATGAATATAATTAGAAAACATATTTTTGTTTCATACTTACATACATATATATGATTTTATGAATATCAATTTTATTTAGTTCAATGAAATCATATTTACTTTGGAAATGTTTGCAAAATATGCAATTTTATGAAAAATATTGTTTTCTTAGTTTATGGACTTAATAACAATCATACACATCTTTTATTAAGTCTATATGATCATTTTGTAATGTTTCAAAACATGGTTAAGTTAAAATATCAAAACTCATATGTTTACATTTTCATGTTTTGGACTATGTTGCAAAATAATGATATTTTTTATTTGGGAGGTCCTTTTTGAATTATTGTAGCATGTTTATTATTATGTCTACAATCATTTTCCAAAGTTTTATATTTTTTGGATTTTTTTTTGATATTTTTAAACAGGGTTTTAAAATCAGAAAACAACTTTCAAAACCTGTTTTTCATATATCTGTTTGCGGTCGACCGCCACGGTCGACCACCTTGAGTCCAGAGACTCAAAATTGTTTTTTAATGGCTCACGGTCGACCGTGACGGTCGACCGGATACAGTCCAGAGAGTTTCACAGTCGACCGTCACGGTCGATCGGCTGATGTCTAGAGCCAAAGCTCTGTTTCTAACCTGCTCGCGGTCGACCGCGCATTTCCTACGGTTGACCGCCGATCTATCAATCAGGTTCCAACGGCTCTTTTCCTGAGCTGTTTTCCTTGGGCTTTTTGGTCTTTTCTGTTGGGTTTTTGGCTGAGGTTTTAGGAGGCTATAAATACCCCCTTGCTCTCATCTTTCAATATAGCAAAGAGAATGTGTTAAAAGAGTTTAACAAAGGGTTTTAGTTTGGTTTAAGTGTGTTTAAAAAGCTTTTAAGCAAATTGAGAGTTTGTTTTTGTGATTCAATTCTACAAGAGCTTGAGGAGATCATCTATTGGTGTTTGGGCATTCAACTATTCTCCCTCCAACTCTTGATATATTGAGAAGTTTTCTAAACTCTATTTTTAGCTTTTTTATATATTTGATTATCATTGTTATTAAGCTAGAACTACATTGAGTTTAGTTTTGATTTATATCTCTTTGTTCACACACAACCTTTTGAGCTTATTGTATTTACATTCATAGTATAATTGGGTTGTGGGATTGTGTAACCTAGAGAGTGAGCTTATATTTCGTTCTCATTCATTGTAGAGAACAATCTCTTTGTATCGTGTCTAATTGTGAGATTCACTTTGTATTACACTAGTACACCGAGAAGAGTGTGTGGTGAGAGACGAGGTTGCTTCCAAGAGAAGTGGCGTCGGTTGACGAACCTAGAGAGAGGTTGTATCTGAGCACTTGAGGAAGGACACGGAGAAACCAACACTTAGAGGGTGTGGAGTGTAGTTACATTGTGAGATTATGATCGTTGATCGGTGAGCGTTGAAAACCGATATTGTGTGGTGTAAACGTTATTCGGGTTAGCGTAGAAAACCCGGTTGTGTTAGTGGATTTCTCCCCGGGAGTGGGGAGCGGAGACGTAGGACGGAAGGTCCGAACTCCGTGATCATATCGTGTGTTTGAGTTTGCTTTGGCGCACTTGCTCTTATGTTTATATTTCTTGTCGCCATTGTCCATTGCTCATTATTTATATCATCCACTATCTTGTTTATTTTGTTTACCCTTGTGTATATCACTTATCTTAGCTCACATATCTTGTTGTATTTTATACTTGCTAGGATAACTTGTTAATTAGTTTTAATTGGTATAAAATCGGATTAGATTAGCATAAGACCCTAATCAACCCCCTCAGGGTCTAACACTTATAAGCAGGTAAAAATATAATGAAAGTGTTTGGTAAAACTCTTAACTTATAAGGATTTAAGTGGAACTATGTGTTTAGTAAACCAATAACTTATAAGATTATAGTCATTGTTAAATTACAGAAAAGGACAACTTGTTGCATATCATATTGTTATTAACTAATTTATTATATATTAAGTAGATGATTACTATTAGTAAAATTATTAATCATTTAACAAAGTAAATAATAGAAATTAATTATTTCATAGTAATTATGGTTATTAATTATTAATATTTGACCTAATTAATTAATTTATATTAAAAAAATTACTGGCAATAAAACTATAAACTAGTTAAGTAAAAATTAATTATTTCAAAATAAAAATATATAATCAAAATATTTTTATATATTACAATAATTTTTGTTATTAATTAATAATATGAATATTAATATTAACTAATTAATTTCGTATTTGTTACATAATAATCATAAATAAATTTACTTATTAACTAACTAAATAACTTATAACAATAACTATTTAATTAAGTAATTATTTAATTTTTTTAATTTAATAAATAACTATTAAGTAATACAAAAAAATATTTATAATAAGAAAATATTTAATCAACATATTTTAATAGCACATTATTTATGGTTGTTAATTATTGATATTGACACTATTTAATAATTTATTAAAATTTAATAATATTAATTAATTAAATTTATCATTATAAATTTGATTAAATAAATACTTATTATGACACTATTCATTATCATATTATTAATGATTAAATTTATTATTTAGTAAATAAAATATATAAATAAAAAATCATCATTATTATTTCTTATTACAAATAAAGAATATAAATAAATAAGTAACATATTTTATTAATATTTAACCAATAAATTCATAGGAAAAAACAGTTTATTTTAAAAATAAAAAATGTAAATAGATAATTTAATAGTACTTATTAGTAAGTTAATTTACTTAGTAACTAACTAATTAATAATAAAATAAAATATTTGATTAATATTTTTATAGCAAGCTATGTATGGTTATTAACTACTGCTATTGACACTATTTAATTAATTTATTAGTAATTAAGTAATAATTTATTTAAATTATTAATTATGTAATTAATTTATTTTATTATTTCATAAATGAAATAAATAAATAACTGATTAATTTTGGAACTATTCCATTAAGTAAATGTTTTAGTTAAATAATTATATTTAGTAAAACTATTAATTAAGTAATTAAATTTATTATTTTCATGAATTAATCAAATAATACATAAATAATTAATATTGATATTATTTAATTAATTTCTTATTTTTGAGATCTGCAGTAGATTAATAAGGGGATTCAAGGGTATTTTGGCCCTTCGACCTATATAAGAAAAACTCCCTATAAATAAGAAAAAAAATAAGTTGGAGTGTTCCCCGACTTAGTTTTTTTCTCCCCACTACTTATAAGTAAGAAATAAGTGAAAAAGTTAACTTTCACCAAACACAAGATTGATACCTTATAAGTAAAAAAAAGTACTTATTAGTGAAATAAGTTACTTATTAGCAAGTTGCCAAACATGCTCCAGAGATGGACATTGTAGGAGAGAGAATCCCTGTCACGGGGTAAGGGCAAGAAAAATACGGTCAAAGGATTTCTTACACCCTTGACTTTTTCAAGAAGGCTGGACGAACAAAGTTTGTCGGAGGCAAATTTCCTTTTCCGAATCGATTCCCGTATATCAAATCCCTGTCACGTAGTTTTGTTCGTTCCAAGTTATGACCACAAAACTTTGTGGCTTCTTCTCACTCCACCGTATTAGAGCCTGACTCTGCACTCTAATAAAAAGCCAAGGAAAACCAACAATTGAAGCAATAGCAACAGTTCAGCTCATCCAAGAAAGGAGTAGCAAATAAACCATACGGTTAAAGAAACAAGATTCAATACCAACATGTAATGCAAATCCAAAGCCTGCTGCTACAAATTTATTGAAGATGAAAGCTCGTCAAGTCTGACGATTGAATGTACCTTTTTTCTGCAAAACTACCACTGATAGTACACATTACGTTCTTCAATGCATAAAATGCTCAGATGCAACCAACGGAAGCAGATGTAAAACTTATAAATACATGCATAGCACGATCAACAAGCTCACATGCGAAGATTGCAGTACGAGCAAGATCAACTTCAAAACAAATGAATAATGATCCTGAGGACTAAATGAATAAATTACCCTCAAGAATTTAACCTCGTTTTTCTACCGTATACATCAAAGAATATCTGGACAGGTCAGCTGGCAGAGCTATTGGTGCTTTCTGAGTGAGTCATCCTGAAATGGAAGTCAATTAGGGCAATGAAGTAAGCAAAAAATGATTAAAAAATAGGACATGGAAACAGAATGCTGACCTTAGTACAAACATAGATATAATGAACTTCTGGGTTTCCACCTAGAAGTGCTGATACCGAACTTCCATCTTCATTTATTGGCAAGGGTGCAGTCAATTCCCAGGACCTTAGCTCTGGAGTCTTCTCCATTCTATCTGCAAAGTTACCATCAAAAGTGAACATAAATCAGAACTTGGCAGAGAGGACAAAATGATTGGTTAAAACTTCGGGAGAAATTTAGGAAATACAGTATCAAATACTAATATTTATATTTTGATGAACATGGGAGGAGTATGATGTAAAAAATAACAACAGAGATCAACACCTAGTTACAGGTAACAACTATAAGAACTGCTTTATCCAAAAGTGTTAGGTTTGCTACATAAATTCTACTCTTCCATTCTGTTCTGTTGAGGGACATCTCCTTTTTAACAGTTTCCAACCAAAATCTCTTAGGCCTAATTGGTGAAATTTCATCAGTGGGTGGCAAAACTCCCATCAACTCGAGCAATGTAGGGGTCACTGGACTTTGCTGCTGCCAATGGTCACTGTAGGAGGCATGCCCCATTTTAAAAGTATGGGTTCTAATGCAGAACTCATGGCGAAGATGCAAGTAACTGGACTATACAGGGTTTGGTTCCATTAAGCGTCAACCCAGCCCACATCACTAATTCAAATGGGATGTAGCAGCATATATGAGCCGTGAGAAGTTCTGATAATTTTTTGCTCAAAAGACTATAGTAGTTAGCAGGATTAATGGCAAGTACTTAAAAAAAGCAGGATTAATGGCAAGTACTTAAAAAAAAAGACTGTATAACTGCAGATAATGTGTAAATATTTGATTACTGTCAATGGTCAAGGTCATCCTAAATTGATCTCTAATGGGTTACAAATGAAAATTAAGTGATATGGAGAAGTTCTAGAGGATTATTAAATTAAGTGATATGGAGAAGTTCCAGAGGATTAGTTTCATAGATCATATTACATATTTTTTGGAACTACAGACCTACTAGTGTGTACCCCGTGCAAAGCACGACCTCTTGTTTTTTTAAGCACTGTATTTTGAACTTGTTTCCCTCTAAGTTTTAATACATTTAATGTGATTATTGTATGCTTAAAATTAGAAATTATATCTACTCCTCTATACTTAAAGAAGGATGCAAGTTTTAATACATTTAATATAGAATTCATATTTACTCCTTTATACTTAAAGAATGATCCAATTTTTAATGCATTTGATTTAGAAATTATATCTATATGTAAAGAATGATCCAAATGTTAGTACTGCAGCAAAAAATATTTTATATTATACTACATTATTTTACTGTAGCAGGAACAGTACTTCAATTGTAGAGGACAAGTTTGGTTTGCTGCTTATGCTACAGTAGTTCATGTACTGTTTACTATAGCATGAACAGTAATCCTTTGGATCCTCCTATAAATATAGAAGAAGAGTTGATTGTTTGAACATTGTTTATAAATTACTGAAAATTCAGAACAAATCACAAAAACTTATCTAAAATAGAAGAAATATGTAGATGGCCTTTGAGACGGTATTGAAGTCTATTAGGTCATACCCAAGAGTCTATACACAGAATTCGGTTAGTTTGATGGAGACTCTTGGCAAAAGAGTAAGGGATGTATCTGTGTAGAAAAGATTAGGGTTAGTTTCTCTCATTGAGAGACCCCTCTTTTATATTAATGTATTCTTACAACTAGGCCCTTACAACATTGACTAATTCACTTAGTATCTAAATAACTCAACACTCCCCCTCAAGATGGGCGATAGATATCAATCATCCCCATCTTGTTACAAAAGATATCATACTCTCTAGAACCTAATCCTTTTGTTAAACAATCAGCTAACTGCTCTTCTGATTTCACATAGCTCAAAGTCAGAACTCCTCTATTCAGTTGTTCCTTAATAAAGAACCGATCAATCTTCACATGTTTGGTGCGATCATGCTGAACTGGATTGTTTGCAATATTAATCGCCGATTTGTTGTCACACCAAAGTTGTAAGGAGTCTCTTCTAAACAAGCGCAACTCAGATAATATGTTTTTTACCCACATCAACTCGCACAGACTAACTGTCATAACTCTGTACTCGGCCTCAGCTGTAGACCTAGCCACCACATCTTGCTTCTTGCTACGCCAAGATACGAGATTGCCTCCAACAAATACACAGTAGCTTGTAGTGGATCTACGATCATCCATACAACCCGCCCAATCAGCATCACAATAGCCTTCAATTCTCAGATGTCCAAAACTCCTGAACCAAAAACCATTTCCTGAGCTTCCTTTAATATATCTAAGAATTCTGCGAACTGCCTCCATATGCTGCTCTCTGGGATCATACATATATCTACTCACCACACTCACTGCATGAGTAATATCAGGTCTCGTATGACATAGATATATAAGTCGTCCAACCAATCTTTGATATTGCTCTTTACTCACAGGGTCTCCACCCTCGGCACTCATCTTATGATTCTGCTCAATAGGAGTAGGTGCAACTCTGCACCCCAACATCCCTGTCTCTGAGAGAAGATCCAGAGCATACTTCCGCTGAGAAAGCATTATACCCTTTCGCGACCTTACAATTTCAATTCCGAGAAAGTACTTCAACTGCCCCAGATCTTTAACTTCAAATTCCTCTCCTAATTTCTTCTTCAACAGTAGGATTTCCTCAGCGTCATCTCCAGTGATTATAATATCATCAACATAGACCACTAGGATAGTGATACGAGTTTTGGAGTGCCTGTAAAACACAGCATGATCACCATTGCACTGCTTGTACCCCATACCACAAACTGTCAACCTGAATCTATCAAACCATGCCCTCGGAGACTGTTTTAACCCATACAAAGACTTCTTCAACTTGCACACCTTCCCAGCTACTTGAGAAGTAGTGAAGCCTGGTGGAATCTCCATATATACCTACTCTTGAAGATCTCCATGCAAAAAGACATTCTTGACATCTAGCTGATGTAGTGGCCAATTAAAGTTGGCAGCACATGACACCAACACTCTAACAGTACTCATCTTTGCTACTGGAGCAAATGTCTCGTCATAGTCAATGCCGTATGTTTGGCTGTAGCCTTTAGCAACCAATCTGGCCTTGTATCTGTCGATCTTGCCCTCTGGAGTTTGCTTAACCGTATACACCCACTTACATCCAACAGCACGCTTCCCAGCTGGCAAATGTACCAACTCCCATGTGTCATTCTTCTTCAAGGCCTGGAGTTCCTCTTGCATGGCATTCAACCACCTAGGATCTTGCTTAGCTACCTGCCAGTTGTTAGATACAGGCACTGAATGCAACGATGCAATGAATGACTTATATGCAGGTGGAATGGATGCATATGAAATGTAATTCGCAATATCAGTATCCCAATTACCAAACTTAGCTGGAGGTTTTCCAGCATTGACTCTAGAGGTTCTGCGGGGCAAGGCAGGAGTATCAGAGGTATCAGGGAAGGAATCGTTACCTATCGACTCAGGTGGAGGAGAAGAGTAAGGCACTGGAGAGGAAGAGGAAGGCACTGGAGAGGAGGGACTTGGGTCATCAACATTTGTGGGTACTGACACAGGCACGGGAGACGACTCATGCTGCTGTTTCTGTCTCCTCGTGTATACTCTCAGCTCCTCCTGACTTTGACTACCAACACCTAAGTCACCATCACTACTCGGCGATGTACCATCACTATTCGGTGACTCAAGAGGACATGGAATCATCCCGACCACAATATCATTCTCATTCTCCCCCTCTCTACTAGCATCAGTAGAGTCATCTCCAAACAAGGAACTCAACTCCGTCTTCTCCCCATAAAAAGGTTCAAATTCCCGAAAAATCACATCCATACTGACAAACAGCCTTCTTTCAATGGGACACCAACACTTGTATCCTTTTTGACTTGATGAGTAGCCAACAAAGATACATTTAACTGCTTGCGGATCCAGTTTACTCACCATCAACCTGTGATCTCTCACATAACATGTGCATCCAAACACTCTTGGTGGAACAACAAAAACATTCGAGCCCAAAAGCATCTCACATGGTGTCTTCATCCTTAATACTCTTGATGGCATCCTGTTGATCAAATAAATCGCTGTCATAACAGCCTCACTCCATAAAAACTTAGGCACATTCATTGTCAACATCAATGAGTGTGCCACTTCCAGTAGATGCCTGTTCTTACGCTCAGCCACCCCATTCTGAGCAGGGGTGTCTTGGCAGGTGGTTTGATGAACAATTCCCTGATTAGAGATGAAAGCTGCAAACTCCTTATTGACATACTCAGTCCCATTATCTGTTCGAAGAATCTTCACCTGCACTCCAAACTGTGTCTTCACATAAGCCGAGAAATCTTGAAAACATTTGTAAACCTCTGATTTCTGCTTCATCATGTATATCCAGGTCATACGTGAATAACAATCAATGAAAGTAACAAACCATCTAAAACCACTGATAGAGGTAGTAGGACATGGTCCCCAAACATCAGAATGGACAAGTGCAAATGGTTCACAACTTCGAAGACCAATCATTCTATAAGTAGAACGAGTATGTTTTCCAAGTTCACATGCATTACAAAATAACTCTTTTCTATTCACTTTTTTCATTAACTCCGGTTCTAATCTATTTAAACTCTCAAAAGATAAATGCCCTAACCGGCAATGTTGAAGCATCGCTTCTGCCTCTGGCTCTCTGCTAACAGCAGCAGCAATCGTTGCTGTCTCCCTGTCCAAATACCAAAGACCATCACGTCTAATACCAGTCCCAATCCTCCTCCCCGTTTCCTTCTCTTGAAAGACACAAATCTCGATCAAATAACATGGTGCAATTTAATTGATCAATGAGAGAGCTAACTGAGAGTAAGTTAACTGGAAACGAAGAAACATGCAATACTGATGACAAGGTAACAGATGAAGTGCAATGGACCGAGCCAGTACCCCTGATGGGTTGGGATGTCCCATCAGCAGTCTGAACTGTCTCAGGATGCATATGCTTACTCGAATAATATAATGCAAACTCACTAGATGTTCCTGTGACATGCCTAGATGCACCTGAGTCTATGATCTAATCAACATGAGTTTTAGTGAATGCAAGTGCCTGAACCTGTGTACCTTTGTTCGCATGAGCATAACCAATAAAGTTACCAAAGCATGTAGTGGTAGCCAGATCCTGGGTGACTTATCCCTTGCCCTTCGAACTCTCAGCCTGAAGCTTGAACAGACGTAGTTCCTCCAGCTCAGTTATTTCAGCTCCAGTCATCCCAGCAGTAGTCTGAGACTCATCTGTCACAGCTAGGTGAGCAACTCCTTGGCTTACACGCCCCCTGCCTCCTCGACCTGCACGGCCACCAGTCTGACCACGTTCACCCCAGTTCCTAGGTGGCTTAGGACATATCTGTCTCAGATGCCCTACCTCTTCGCAGTTGAAGCACTGCCTAATCTTCCCTCTGAATCCAGTGTTATCCGGGTTGGATACCACCAGTGCAGACTTCTCTCCTGTAAGTCCACCTATCCCAGACCGTAGCCTGATACGACTCTCCTCCTGTATCATGGCCGAGACTGCCTTCTCCAGTGGTGGGATCTTCGTCTGGGTTAGTAGTAATGCCGTCCTCTGCTCATACGCTGGAACCAAACCTCGGAGAAACAACATGGTCCTCTTCTGCAAAGCGGCCTCACGCTCCTTGCACTCAGGGTCCTTGCAGCTCGCAAGGGGCGAGAAGTGATCGTGATCGAGCCACAAGCGCTCCAGCTCTGTGGCGTACTCCTGTACAGTCCTCTCTCCCTGGACTATAGCGCTGATCTCCTTCTCGATCTGGAATACCCTCAGGTTATTCAACTTCTTGATGATCTCCTCCATCGGATTTTTTCCAGTCTTTGTCATCGGTCCAACTTCTATTCTTGTGGTGCGCAACGAAAAAATTCCGGCAGCACTTCGACAGTACAACAAGATAGATAGATCAACAAGAATTCCTGTTTCACCAAGGAAACAAGAACCAGAAGCAAGATATCTCAACAAAGTGAGATATCAGCTCTTCTCTCATCAGTTCTAGGACTGACTTGTCGAGGAAACCTAAATATTCAACCCTCTCATTCCAGCCGATCCCCACATCCTCAGCACGATCGCCAACACCCAGCCGCGGCCGATGACGGAGACCGACCCCCACATCCTCAGCACGATCGCCAACACCCAGCCGATCCTGATGACGGAAACTGATCCCTCCTCATCCACAGTTGGCCACCCCTCATCAGTGACGACAGGCGTCGCTTCTCTCTAACTGTCGCACCACTAGCACCGCGTCCCCCTTTCTCCCTTCATCGGCGACGAGATCGACAGGTCTGACCAACCTCGGTGAGATCGACCGACAAATAAGGAGGAGAGATCGACGGATTGAGCGACGGAGAGAACGAACGATCGACGGATTGAGCGACGGAGAGAACGAACGAAGTTGGGCGGCGGAGGAATCGTCGGATTTGGCTCAGAAAAGGGAGGCGGCTAGGTTTGGCTCTGATACCATGTAGAAAAGATTAGGGTTAGTTTCTCTCATTGAGAGACCCCTCTTTTATATTAATGCATTCTTACAACTAGGCCCTTACAACATTGACTAATTCACTTAGTATCTAAATAACTCAACAATCTGTCACGGGAATTTTCCTTTTAAACATGGTACTTTTTATGCATGTTCCTTCAATGGCTTTATATGCATGAGGCTTTCCATACATATCCATGATAATTGAATTTGAAGACTATGTTGATCTGTGATGTCATGCTGCAATCTCACGCCATTTCCCCTTGGTCTTTGATTTATAAATTATGAAGTCAGAAATGGTGCTAAATTTATTCATGATGTTATTTTATACTTTATACTTATAAAGAGTGCCCTTGGAAAGACTCTGTATGCA